AAAAAAAAAAAAAAAAAAAGAGAGAGGGGAATAATAATGGCACATATATCATTGGACTGCTGTGTGCCAGGCAACAGCAAATCTCTTACAGCCAGTAAGAGACTCTTTAGCGAATTGATTTAGTTAAAATGAATCAACATAGAAATGAATAATAAATTTAATTTCAGTAAATATATTTGATTACATACCTTTATTTTTTTCCACAGCCATTCTCAATTCCATCTTTTTTTCCAATTTGTTTATTTCAATGTGTATGCAATGTTCTTTCTTTCTAGGATATACAAACTCCAAGTATGTTAATTATGTAGCTGTATAATTTCAAGTTGATTAAATAGTAATCAGAATTTTAGCTAACATAAGCAGATTCTATTTTGGCCATTTAAAAAATGAAACTGCTCAGATGGAGAAAAAAAATCAATGACAAAATATGTTATTTTGGAAGATATTACAATAATTTCTCTCCTACTGGCAGTCTTAAATCCAATAACTCAGATGAAATAATTGATTTGCATTTATAATAATCCGTACTGAAGGAAGTCAGCTTTGCATACAAAGGAAACACCAAACTCCTCAGTGGATCATTCAACAAACAGATATCTCAGTATTAGATTAGCTCTTCCTTTTGGAAGAAAGGTTCCAAATGCAACTTGATTCTCCCAGACAGAAACCCTGTCCCCTTCAATAATTAGTAATTCATCTTCTAACAAGAGGATATACATGAGAAATAAAAGCTCTGCCCCAACGTGGCTGTTTCCTGAACAGATGCTGAGGAGCCCATCGTTGTTGGTTCAGCTGAGGACAGTGTCACTTTGCTCATAAAGAGAGTATAACGTTTCTTAAGAAAGCCTTTAAAAGGAGCACCTTAGCTTTCCTTCAGTAAGCTACCTTTGCTACCAAAAAAATTATGCTTTTCCCTTTTAATTTTACAAACATTATTATTAGAAACAAGAGCACAATTACAAAAATGGTATGGGAATCAATTCACTATATTATCTACAGTATCCTTTATAATAGAATAAATATGCATATTGTATATGATATTTGGTCTTTATGAACAAATAATATAATTACTGATAGTCTAAGGATGAACAAAGATATTTTAATGGTATGCCAGAAAGAAATAGAAGAAAATAATGCAAAGAATGTTTAAAATGTTTAGAAAATTTCAAGTGCTTCAACAAAGTAATTTCAGAACTAGTATAATAGTATGAATAGTATAAGAGATTTAGTATAGTACATAAAGAAATATAAAAGACAGTTCTATGATATCACAATTGAAGACATTAAAAATATAAAGTTAATGAAAATCTGAGGAGTTAATAAAAGTAAAATAAAAAATTAGCTGAGTCTTTGAACTTTGTTTTTTTTTATATCTGATATTTAGATCTTTTCGGAAAAACTCTCTATGCCACTACATTTCAAAATTTCATGATACATTGTCTATGCTAGCACCATGAAGCATATTCTATCTGTGCTCTGAACATTGGTTATTACCTATTAAAGTTAACACATTGGAAGACTATAACATATTAGTTGTAACTCATTAGCTAGCTCATGAAACGAACAGCTAGGATTGGTTGTCAGGCAGAATGCTAATTGCATTTCATAAATGTTAGCTTAACCCTTTGTTGTTAAATGTGCTGGATACATGGGTAAAGGCAGTCATATGTTGCATATGATACGGCATATAGTTCTTAATTTCCCCAGGGCAAAATTTCCTATGGAGATTGGCAGGATAGCTTTTATTCTTCCCAGAGCCTTTTATTAACACAGCTGCTAGAATTTCTAGTCATTTTGTGTGGTGGTATTTCTATTTTGGGAAGTGGGGATGGACAATGGATTAAATATGGAGAAATCATAAACTGCCCTTTTACACCTTAAATATTAGCCTCAATGTGCAATTGAAAACATTTTCCACATATAATAGTTGAATAAAATCAGTTGGTTTTATTTCAAAGACAATGTGATCAAAATATAGCAAAGAGATCAATAATATGCATTTGGATATAAACAACTGGCCTTCCCCCCCCCCCCAAAAAATATATATTTTGCATGGGTGATACTTTTAGCAAGGCAGAGTTTTGTTTTGTTTTTTTCTTCATCTTGAACTTAAACTTGTATTTTTCATTAAGTTATAGTCCATTCTAAACATTATTCAAAATTTTTAGATCTTCCACCACCACCAGATCCCCCTCCAGGTCAGGGTTTAAGGCAGCAAATAGGCCCGAGCCAGCATGCTGGTAACGTGGAAAACTCAACAGAGAGAAAAGGAAGCTCTCTGGAGAGACAACAAGCATCCAACTTAGAAGACACAAAGAGCTCATTGGATTGTCCAGCTAGAACGTCCCTAGAGTGGCAGCGACAAACCCAGGAATGGATTAACTCCACAGAACGCCAAGAAGACATACGGAAAGCCCTACACAAACAAGGTGTTGGACCAGGTGTGTTCTGCACAGTCCCAACAAAGTGTGGACTTTTACCATTTTTTTTTTGTACTAGGTATTTTAGAAACAGCAGTTGTTTAAGGGCTTCTGAAATGCATTTGCCTTGAGTCACTAATTGAAGTTGGAATTCCGCAGCAGAGCTCACCAGCACATCCCTTAAGGCTGACCCAGTGGGGATTGCTCCTCAAGTTAACCTCTGAGTAGGATCTCTACCTCTAGTGCTCAGGAGACAATTTGATTTTTTTTGCCTTTTAATGTTTGTTTATATTGAGTACTTTTAATACCACAAAATTTCAACTTCAGTGTCAATTTAAATTCTACCATCAACCAATTTGTTAATTTTGACTGAAGTAACTAGTCATCTTGAAAAGAGAACTCACTTCGGTCAAATTGCTGAATTAAATGAAATAATGAATGAAGTTGCAAATAAATGCCCAATCTCAGAATCCTCCTGTTAGAAAGGTTAACCCGGGCCTACACTTTCTCCAACTGATTAAATGTAGTTAATTGTTAACAATTCAATGGGGGAATGTTCTTGTTTATAAATCAAGTTTCCTGGAAATGTCACAAAATGAATTTCATGGTTCATGGTTGGATTTCTTGGGGGAGTGGGTGTTGAGACTGTTACAGAAATACACTTTCTGGAATATTTCTTCTTATGTCAAGATTCCTTGAGTATTAAAACACACACACATGCTCCCACACACAAAACAACATTTGAAAGAGTTTCCTGATGCACTCATTTATTCCTTTGAACTGAATCGATGTTAAATATGTCGTCTTCTACCCATGCACTTTCAATAATTATATTTTGTCACAACTTGGTGCTCAAAGTTTTAGAAAAAATATAATTTATACAGCGGCCAAAAAATGACAATATTAACATCTAGGTTTAGTGAAACTTTTAAGAAGGTTCATCATTAAGACTGAGAGCAGAATCATGTGATCCCTGCCATTGAAGATGATCTTAGGAAAGAAATACTAAGTTCAGTCAGCATTTTTTGTTTTAGTCATCTCACCACAGTAATGATGGTCGATGCCTAGAAAGAAAGAGAAAAACAAAAGGGGTTGGGAGGGGAAAAAAGAGAAGAAAGAAGGAAGGGAGAAGAGAAAGGGAGAGGGGAGAGAGGGAGGGAGGGAAAAAGGAAGGAAGGAAGAAAAAGTATTTCAAAACATTAAGTATTTAGTGTGCACTTCATGGGTTATTTGTAGAGAGATGATGCATAAAGATAATAGACTCATTATTTATTAAATGGTATGAGTTTCTCTTTTTCTGTTAAGGTAGAATACTGGCTTTCGAATAATGTATTTCTATCTCAAGAAACAACAGAAGCTTAAGAAGCTTATTTTAATAGTTAATATATAGTTCTTTACATAAATTGAGAAAAATGTTGCTATAATTTAAAATCAAAACCATGTTCTGTCAGTCTTAATAGAAATATTAAATTGGAGCCTCCACTAAACTCCAGAAATTATTCTCAGAAATGCTTTAGTTAAACAATATGGTTCATTGTATGCAGGTCTCTTTTATGATATCTTTAAATTTTGCAAATGATATATAACATTGTACACGCATTCATTCCAGTATATCTTTTAATTTAATTCTGATTTAGTTCCTATTGTAGGAAATATTGCTTGCACATGGAAATTCTTTTTAATTTTCGGGCTTTATTAAATCTCATATTTTTAATTTTCCTGAAAAGGAAAATGGTAAAAGAGCTCATCTTGAGCTAAATATCTAAAGTTAAGTTTGTTTGCCAACATGCTGCTATTTAACTTAGCCTCTTATGTTTCTTTTTTTTTCCAGAGGAGACCTTGGTGCCCTACAGCAAGCCCAACTTCCCATCTCCAGGAGGTCACAGCTCATCAGGAACAGCTTCTTCTAAAGGATCCACTGGGCCTAGGAAAGCCGAGGCGTTGAGGGGTGGCCACCAGCGCAATGCCAGCGATCTGCTTGACATAGGATATATGGGCTCAAGTAGTCAAGGACAGTTTACAGGTGAATTATGTAAGTGCTTTAGGAGATTTAAAAGACTATGGTGATCTAGAAAGAATATTGGAGTAATAATGTAGGGGAGGAAAATGTTTTCCTCAACCCTCTTAGGGTCCCTCGCAAGATCTGAAATTTAAACTGGCAAAGATTGACAGGAAAAAAAAAAAAAAGCATACACATTTTGTTAATTTCTTACATATACATGCAAACCTTCCCAAGAGGATGAAGTCCCAAAGAAGTGACAAGAGGAGGGAACGTTTCTGCCTTTTAGACCAAGATATAAGGATGTAAAGGATTGATCAGACAGAAGGATTTGAGCCTGGGGTAGTAATTGATGAAGTAACTCAGACAGTAGGGTTAGTTGAACAAGGTTTGTTTATACAGATTTCCCAGCCCCAACTCTTGTGATAAGAATGTCCTCCTTCCTCCTGGCCCTGTGGGGGCAGTTGTCACATGGCAGTTTTACAACCTGTTTGAGGGAAGAAGGGCGAACGGGAGAGGTCAGGGTGACCTTCCTGCTTCTGCTGTATCCTCAGACCCCTTCAGCTTAAGATATTCAATATACCAAGATGCTGTATTTTGGGGTAGCATGTCCTGAGCCCCATCGATAACACTGCCACATAAACAAATTTCACAATAGTAGAAAACTTGCTCTACTATGCGAATCGATTATTATTTTGAGCAGGTTTGGCCATAACTTAGACCACTGCTATTTACAGCAGTCAATTAAATAAACTTGTCCTCTATTTCAAATTTGATTTATAGTATACAAACTTGCCTTAATTTAGGCAATTAATCTTAATACTTATAAGTTGATGAAATATAGTCCACTTTGTACTTTTCTCTGCCTCTGTAGCTGAGCACTCTAAAGGAAACATATCAGATCTTTGGTAGTTTTAAAGAACTTCCTTAGGAAGTCTCTTTTTTTTTAATTTGAAAAGTTGATCTTTGACTTTAGATAATTTGTAATATTTTGATTATTACAACATAACTTAGAAATAAATTTTTCTTTTTAAATAAGGAACTCACATTGGTACTTATTATAATTAATCTGTTTTCTAAATATAAATACTAGGTAATAGAGAAATATAGGCTGTTTCTGTATATCACAGTAAAAAGTACTGAACTCTGTTAATTTCATGAGGAAAGTTACCAGTTTTGCTATCCAATGTCAGAATTGTAGTTGCTGAATATATTCAACTGCTTCTTTGAATACAGTTTAGAAACCCTGCTAAGGAACAGCCCTGGGTTCCAATCTCTTCAACTGCTTACTGGTTATGTGAGAAGAGAAAGGACACTAACTACTTTCTTATTCATTTTTCTTACCTAAAAACTTGCATTACTGTTATGCTCACATGGCAGACTGGGGCATGACATGAGATAGTAAAAAATAAAAGTACTTTCAAAGCTGTAAATTCTTTATTGATTGAGTTAGTTATCTATCCTAATCTGATTATTGTTAAGCTATGTTTATAATTTTTCATTTGATTTATGATTACTTGGATTTTTCTTTAACTTTTATTTTGAAACAATTATAGACTCACAAAAGTGCAAAAGTAGCTCTGCTTGGATTTTAAATCTCCAAATTCTACAATGTTTCATTTTTTTCCCTCCTTTCTCATCTCATTTAGGTAAAATTTCTTAAATTCACAAACTCGCAGAATCTATTTGATGATATTATTTTCATTTATTATCTGCTCACCTTGAGTTTCCGTATGCTTGTCAGGATAAAAGATTTCTTCATTTAAATGCAAACTTACTTCTGTTTTGTTTCCCTCTTTACAGAGTAACTGAGAGGAGACATGCAAAGCTGCTCTGAAGGACCATCAGGTCTGAACTCATGGAAGTGATGACACTAAACAGTGCAATGAACAATTTCTTTATTTATGTACTATTAAAAGAACTGTAAATGCAATGTAAAGACACACAGCCACACATATCCCACAGATATTTTACTTGTGTTCTCTTAAGTACACCACCCACCTTAACTCTTTCTTGTCAGGAGTATACAAAAAAGAAAGGAAACAAAGCTCGCCCTCCGGGAAGAAAAGAATTTTCCTCTGTATATAATTTCTTTCGTGCATTGCTATGCAAGCTCACTCTTTTTAGCTCTGTTCATATTATTATTGTCTGTTCTTATTGGTCTGTTGTACTATATGTGAATTAATAGGCTGTGGTGCCATATATTAACTTTTAATTGTGTAACTTTTATGTTTAAATTTTGCACTGCAATTTTATTTGGTGATAAGCACAAATCTCTACTCCTCGTGACATGAAGAAAAAGACTGAATGTGAAGGGAGTTTCTGTACTGTAAGCCAGGTTGGAGAATGCTGGTTGTGACCTTTTCACGTTAGATGGTTTTCGGTTGGGGTATAGAAATAGGAAGATGCTAAGGACAGTGGGGTTGGCGGAGTCTTCTTTGAACATCAGGGACCGAGTCAATAAAAAATTTTTAAAACAGCAGAAAGGTGGCTTTTACTGTTGACAAAAGTGTGGGTCAAAAGAAGGAAGTTTAAGTCTTAAGACTGAATAGGCATTAAAATATACAGGTAGCAAAGATGTACTAAACTTGCTTTAAGAAATAATAAGAAAATTAAAGTTATATTTAGAATCAGCTTTACCTGCCGTTGTAATTGACCCAGCTGAGAATTACAACAGGCGAAGGAAATTAAGGTGTTTCACAAGAGCTGTATTTATATTACAGGTTTTTTAACAAAACATTTTCTGAGTGACCATAATTAACCTCTCCAACTCATTAAGTCAGAATATAATACGATGTCCCCCAAGGAAACAAAGCAAATGAACTCTAGAATATCCAGCAAATAGTTAAAGAGGCAATTTATTATCAGGACATACTCGGGCTGCTTTGAAATACGAAAACTCTATTGCAATATCTTGTTTCATCTCTCTAAGACATGTACAGTACACACCAGAGGATAGAGCTGCATCACTTCAACTCGTGACTTTTTAAAACAATGCAGTCTATACGCAACTTTGCGTTTTCATTTGACGAAGAAGTGAAGTTTATGCCACCAGATGCGTATCCAAATTGTAAGTGCTTAAAAAGCAGTGCTCAGAGTATGTTCAGTTCACAGTAAGTAGATTTATCGGAGTAAATATTTCATGGTACGAGCTCAGCAATTGGCTACCTACTAAAATATGTCTGACCCATTTTGAGTAAGTAAATTGAAAAGGAGAAGATGCATGTTTATACACTTTTTAAATAAAACCAAACCTCGTCAATGGACATTAATAACAGTGTCCTGGCTCATTTGTTTTCATGGCTTGGAGAGCAAGAAGTTCCTGAACGTCAGTCATGTACGGTCCAAATGAATATGACTTTGACATCTCTGTCAGCTACTGCACATGTACAGCCAGTCAAGTAGAACTTTCCTGAGATGTCCACTTGTGACATGTTCCCATGTGCTGCCTACACAGTTATAAATTCTCCCTCTAGTTATAATTTCTCATGTTTTCCTATGACGTGTTCGGTAGTTTATACTTTAAAGCATATCCAGTGTAATGATGGTCAGTTCTAAAATACAGGACTCATTTGAATGACAAATCATTCTTCCTGCCTTTTTGGCTCAGTCACCAGTTGTGTGTCATATTGCTACAGTAATGGCAAAATGGGATGCTTCGTGTTTTCTGTTGCTTGAGACTGCATCAGCACAGGCGAGCACAGGGACAGTGTTCTTCACGGGCCCCCCCTTCCTCTTGGTGGCGTGTCCTTCATTTCTTCACTGAGGAGGAAATTCTGAGACGCACGCAGGGAGCGCTTCGGCTTTCTCCCAGAAGCGCCTGAGCGTCGGTGCAGTTTGACGTCTCTGGGACAAAGAGGCTGGGGAAGGCTGTAGGGTGTGAGGAATTTAAATTTTTATTTATGCATTTCCTTACTTCACCTCTTTCTATTTAAAAGCAAAGTTCTGTTCATTTGTATTCCCTCTTTATACTCCTCTATAAGCCAATTTAGTCAAAAACCTTAGTTCATTGCACATATTACACATCGCCTTTGGCCCCTGGTAACTGGAAGGTGTATGTGACTAAGAAACCAGGGCTCCAGAAACAGAGCATGTGTATGCTGGTGGCTCCTGGGATCACATCGGCCATGCACCCTAACATCTTAATTGTCCCCAGTGCATAAAGCCGACTTATGGTTAGATTTTTGCAGTGGAGACCTTATGGTTTCTTTCTTAGAATGTTATTTGAGAATAGCCCACATTCCCTGTTAAAGCTGGTTTTAAATAAATTAGCTGGTCAAATATTGCACACAAAATACAGTCTCCAAATGGATACAGGGCACGCTAAAAGCTGTGGCTGTCCACACGAACTCAGGAACACAGTGAAAAAAATCCAGTCTTCTTCAGCTTGCCGTGGGTAAAAAGCTTCTAAAATACCATTAAAAATACAAACACGGGTGAGGAAGGGCCGTGATTTTTCACCCCGTAGCCAGCGGTGGGGCTGTAGAAGCTCACGGAGCGCTTGCCTCCAGGCCTAGAGGCGGCAGGCCCGGCAGGCTGCCGGGAGGAGCTGCGGGAGGGACAGACCGCGCCGGCCTGCTTGGGGCTCGCTGCCGAGCAGTGTCCCGCACAGCGCCGCTCAGGCGCCGCATGCACAGCGGCCAGGCCCCTGCCCAGCTCCCTCCCGCTCAGGGCCCGCAGGCTGAGCGCAGCTGCCCCTTGTCCGCACCTTTCCGTGTCATACTTACAGGGACATGAAAGCAGTTGATTTCTTCACAGCGTTTGAATCCAGTTCAAGGGAGAACATAGGAAACTCAAGATCAACATTTAAGGTATCATACAACCAAAGGAAGAAAAAACACTGCAAGTTTACTTGCTTTCGGTAACAAAACCGATTAAATGGTTGTCTACGTCATGGTTTAATGCTCTGGGTATTTACATATATTTTCAATGGGTTTGAGTTGAAAGTTTGCATGAGCTTGCTAGAACACCTCCAAATTTCTATTGAACTAATTTGTGTGATTGTCCATCGACAACGTAATGATGACAGTGCCAATGAACTCCAGGCTGATCTGTCTCCTCCACTGGAAAGTGATTGTGTGTCAGTATTAAAAATACGCAGAACCATGACATTCACTGAGTTGTTCATCTGCTTCTGTAAATTGTATTTATAGAATTACATGGCAAGGTTTGGTGTAATGCAACATGTTTTTCCACATTACCTTAGAGGTGAAGTTACTTTTATTTTGCTTCTCTATTATGTGTGCTTCAAATGAAACACCGTACATTTTAAATGACATTCAATTTACTAAGTTATCTTATCTCATCATTTTCAAAAGCATTTATTGTGACTTTAAAGTGTTGCAAGATAAGGGATTTTGTGGCCGTGGGTAGACTTTTTATACTTTGTTTTATAGATGGATTCTTTTTTAACTGTAGTTTGTTTACGTCACCAAGCAGCATCCAAAATCTTAATGTGTTTCATTTGATGTTGTTAGATCAGAAAAGAAATTGGCGTAACATTGATTAATAGTATTGTCAAAGAATTGTGTATTGTGTACTCACTGGGAAAAAAAATAAAATATATTCACATTTCAAATTTGTAAAAACGCCATTTTATGTAAAACAAACTTGCATGTAGACAAATTATAGGCAGACAAAGTGTCATTTTAGAACTCTACGTTAATATTTATGACCAAATGCATAATCTCCTTTACTCATTTGCTCCTGGGGTGGGCAGTGATGAATAAAAATTGGCATTGACTGAAAGACGTGACTAAAAGACACCAATGAAGAATGTAAAAACCACTGGAAATGAAAGATTTCACTCTATTACCACTAATTTCCAGATCTGATCTTCTTCACCCCCAAAGAGCTTCAAATAGATAGAACACAAACTTATCTACAAAATTATTTAATACTTTACGAACATATATAACTGTGAGAATTGGAAGAAAGTGAATATTAACTTTGGGATAGTTAACAATAACTTTATTTTTTTAAGATGGATATGTTGGAAAATTATCTTATGGACTGGGTGGGGGAAAAATTCCCTATTGTACTTCATAAATATTTTGTTCCTTTTTTTAAGTACAGTTATATGATCAGATCATTTCCAAAAATAAAGAGAAGTTTGTGTTCTTTAAAATAGTAATCATAGTAACAGTAAAAATGAAAAAGGAAACTAACATTCATTTAAAAATATTTTTAAAACACATGGTAAATGGGCAATACAGAGTGTTATTTAATTTAGATTAACAATATGAAAATAAAATAGTATTAGAATAATCACAAATAATGTTGCATTAATATAATACAATAGCAATACATATATATGGTTAAAGACAATATGAGTTACCAATATGATAAATGGTAGAGAAATTATAAAACAATCATTGCTCTATGGAATTTAAGTGCATTATGGAAACATCTACAAATGGCAAAAGTGAAAAATTATTAGGTAATTAAAATAACAGTACACTCTGTTCTCTGCGTCAGCTAGAGAAAACGTGTCAGTGTTGCTAGAAAGCATTTAAACAACAAATAATAATTAATGTCCTCAATTTGTGAAAATGGATTTTATCTCTTCCAAAGATGAGATTGGCAGAGTTCACACTGGGTTTATTTTCATGGCAGAGATGTGAATTGAGACTGTAATAACCAAAAACCAGTTTGTAAGATTTTAAAAGTAAAGACAAGTAGAAACACTAACTAGAAGGGGAAGACAATATGCTGTCTCCAGAAGGTTTCAAGGACTCTTTCACTTTGATGAATTTGTTGTTCTTGGTGTTGGCCTTCAGCCTCAGAAGGAATTTCCTCAGGCCCAGAGAAGGTGCACAAGAATATTAAAAAGCTGTCAAAAAACCCAGAGACAGATGCAAGACAATTGTATGGTTGTGTGTTTGGTGTATGAAGAACTACAAAGGTCATCTGCCTCTGCATCATCTAGTCAGCACATTTTCTCCCTGCAGAAATCAAGCTATAAGAAATATATATATTCAGAAGTCTCAGTAATTAACCAATGAAGGTATTTTGTGATTCAAATACAGTGCCCGTGGGCCCAGGGCAGTCTCCATGGCAGGGAATGAGCAGGTCCTCTCACTGCCCTGGACCAGAGCACCCCAGCATCCTTTCCTGTAAAATGCCTTGAGGATGAACACAGGCTCTGGGGAGTAGAAAACATTTTGTTTGACAATTTTCAGACAATGTTTTTCTAGACATTTGTGAATAATTTGTTTCTGACCAACGGGCTTTGGGGAATTTTTTGTTTGTTTATTCCTTTTGCAAACAAGTATTGAGACGTGCTAAGAATTAAATTTTCTGAGAAGTTAAAATAGAAATAGCTTTTTCCTTCATAGATTGATTAGTATCTTCTGTTCAATATGGACTGGACCTCTGGGAACATATCTTTTTTGAGGAATATTTGTAAGCTAGGGGGAAAGAGGCAAAAAGCAAAGCTTTCAAACACATTTACACACAATAAAACCTGCATTAGTTCCATTTACATCTCCCCCATCTTCACATTATCTATATTCTAGTATTCCTCAAAATAATCTATGGATGTTTTAAAATAATTTTTTAATCCTCACTGGACAATATGTTTTTATTAATTTGAGAGAGAGAGAGGAAGGGAGAGGAAGAGAGAGGGAAACACCCATGTGAGAGAGAAACATAGATCAGTTGCCTCCTGTATGTGCCCTGAGTGGGAATCAAACCGGCCACCTTTCCATGGACCAGAAGACGCTCAATCAACTCAGCCACACCAGCCAGGACAGCCTATGGAATTTTAATAGATATTTTTAAAATAACGAATATAAAGGAGTGGAAGTTCCAGGGTTCAACATGTAAAGAGATTTCTTTACTACTTCACCCCTTTTTAACTCTGTTCAAATCTTCGATGACATAAAACCTTTTGTCCTGGGGCATCTTGTGAGACTAGCACTATGTGAAACCCACTCTGAGAAATACTCTCCCAGAAACCGTCATCCCTCATCCTGATCCTAGGCTCTACATTAGTGGTCCCAGAGGCATTTCTGCCAAGCCTTGCTGTGGTTTTTTAAAGCCAACACTAAATCATGAGAAAGAAACATGGGAATCTGCAGTGTTGTGTGTAGATGATGAAGAAAAAATGTGCATTGGGAAGTTGTATAGATCCTCCCCATTTCTGAGATTCTCAAATGGTTCATTGAGATAGTGATCAGCACTTGAGCAACAGGTAAGACTGCATTGTGTTCTTCAGGTTTCCTACATTTTTTTTGTTAAGTCTCCAAATCATTAGGAATGAAAATATACTCATTGTCTTCCCCCACCCAACTACCACCTCTCAGAAAATTCATTCCTTTTTAATGACTGTTGTCCGGTGATGACCAGGTTTTACTTCAAGTGGATAGCACAACATTTAGGGGGAAGGGCCTTAGTAAAATAATATAGAACTAAGTCCCATTGGGGTGGAAAATATAGCTAATTAGTAATAATGAAAACCAGCATACTCAGAAATGGCAAAACATGAAAGTACAAAAGGGAAATAGGGAATTACCATTACTGGCATATGAACTTCCACTGGCAGTAAGTGAAAAAGAAGATGATAATGTTATAAAGGAAATTAAAGTAAAATGGGGAAAGTGGGGATTTAGATTTACTTGATTAATTTTGAATGATGGTAGATAAATGCAATCAGCAGCTTAAAATGCCCCATCATAGGTGATTTGAGAGTAGTTACTTTCAGGTAACAGTTATTCTAATAAAAAAGATGAAAAAGGAGAATGGAAGCAGCTTGAAACAAAGGACACATGAAGAGAGTAAAGCTTCAGCTTAAGAAAAGGGATTAAAACATTTTCAATAGATGTGCAAGAATTTTTTTAACTATCTTTATTGATTTCAGAGAGAGGAAGGGAGAGAGAGAGATAGAAACATCAGTGATGAGAGAGTCATTGATCGGCTGCCTCCTGTACACCCCATGCTGGGGATCAAGCCCGCAACCCGGGCATGTGTCCTGACCGGGAATCGAACCCCGATCGCCTGGATCCTAGGTCGACGCTCAACCGCTGAACCATGCCTGGCAGCCTGGCTGGGCAATGTGCAAGTATTTTTTATGCAAGTAATTACCCACCAAAGATTAAATCCCTGATTTCATTAATGTTAGTGATACAGATGATTAAAAGAAGATACGCTTTAATGTCCAATATCACCTATTTTTTATACACTGTTTTCATAAATAAATCTCAAGTGGAAAGATATTTTGGACCTATTCTAATAACAGTCCAAATAAAAAGAATTATAATACTTAAAATGTATTAGGGAGCCAAGAAATGCTTTAGGAGGTGCACACATATTCACACACACATATACATACACGTGTACATAGAAACATATTCATAATTCTCAATTCAGTAGAATACAAGATATGGTGAATACACTTATGGAATATGGTAAAAGGGCAACAAACAAATATTGTGAAGATAAAGACAAGTATCTCAGACTGAATAATACTTCAGGAAATCTATTTCTCCTAAAAATTTATAATTATAAAATTAAATATAAATAAATGCATTTATATTTACATGCAAGTATATATAGGCTCATGTGCATTTATGTTTGTGTTGTATAAGCTCATACTCATTTATATATGTATTTATATTTATATGTATATATACATATACTTATATATGCATATATATATATAATAAACATCACATATATAATACACATATATGTATACATGAAGGAATGGATATTTTCTGGTTTAAATACCAAATGTTATTTTTAAATGAACAAATGTATACATAACATTGTGCTTGGCACGATGTAGTGGTGGGCAGGCAATGATAAATAATACGATATCCTTATAAACTATTTGGAGGTGACATAAAGCATAGAATGAATGCTATACTAGAAGTAGAAAGTGAAGGAAACCATATAAGATGGTGAATTTTGCAGAAATCGCTTTTAGGAGTTAACAGGAAGAGAGCACTAAGGGTCGGTATGGCCGGGCGTGTTTAATGATAAAAAGCATTGAGCTTGGTTCTGAACGGGAAGCATGGAGAGAAGACAACCTGGAGGACAGGGAGCAGGTGAGGCACAGCCCCTGGCCTGCAAGGAGCAACCGCCTAATGCGAGAGCCGGCCAGCTGAGCCAACATTGCTGATCTGGTACAATCCAAGGTGTGATAAATACTCTCAGGAAGGTTCCATGGGGAACGGAAGGTGGACACCTCACTCAGACTCTAGAGATCAAGTCTGAGCTGAATAATGCCTCAGTCTATTCCTCCCTGACAAAGGGTCAAATGACCACTTCACTTGCCCGATGCAGAAGCATCGAGTCTTGAGATAACGGCACACAGTGAGTGCAGAATATTAAATAGTAAATGCATTAGTCAATGTACAGGATGTTTGGAGAACAACAGCAGAACAAAGATATGCTGGAGAATGGGATAAAAATTGGTAGACTGAGAATGCCTAGACTGAGGGAAGACGGGACGGAACACGGACGAGGAGTCTCTATGCTCTCTTCACATGCTTGTTTTTCATTCTGGGGGTGCAAGGACATCGCATCCTCAAAGGGGATTTGTGCTTTCATAAACGGGAAAATTCAATTCTTCCT